TTCCCAGGGCCATGCCCTGATCAAGCTCGCCGGGAAGATCATCCCCACCGCCGTGACCATGGAGCACATCTCCGAGAAGGTGTCTCCCTCGGGGAGCATCTCCAGCGCCCCCAAGGAGTTTTCTGTCCACGTGAGAATCTTCCGCATCTCCGTCCAGAGAGGGGGAGGGCAGAGGTGGGGGGCCAGGAAGCAGGAGCTGGGTCTGAGCTGTGCGGCTGACCATCTGTATCACTGTGACCAAGTCCTGTCTTCCCCACGCTCCACTTTGTCACCTACTCAGCGAGAGGGTTGGGCCAGGTGGTCTCTGTCACCTAATTTTACTCCCACCAGTCAGGCGTGGCCATGAAAACATTGCCATTTCCACATGCTTATAACACAGCACCGTGTGTCCTCGTCCCACTTCTGCCCCCGATGTGTACTCTCTGGAAGCTTCCACTTGCAACCGTTTTCGCTGAAAATGATTATTTAGGTTCTTGCCTTCATCTTTGCTTTTCCTAATTTCTTGACTTTTCAGGTTTGGTTGTTGCCTACTGAGGTTCTCTGGTGGAAAATGGTTAGCTCTCTTCCGTGGCTCCCCAGCCTCAATGTTTGTGTCTTTATTGATGAGACAATTCACACCCACATCATTCATCCATTTAAAATGCCCTTCTCACACACAGACAAGTCAGTGGCTTTGGTATAAGCACAGATGTAGATACCCATCGCCACGATAAATTTGAGCATAGTTTCGTCACTCCACAAAGAAACCCTGTGCCTCGTAGCTGTCCCCTCCCGCCACCCCCTCCCTCTGTCCCCCAGCCCTGGGCAGCCACCAACCCACGGTGTCTCCGTAGACTGGCCTTCTGGACACGTCATATGAATGGGATCACCTGTGTGGTCTCTGCTGAACGGCTTCTTTCACTGGGTATCATGTTTTTAAGGTTCACCTATGTCAGTGGTCGGCAAATTGTGGCTTGTGAGCCACATGTGGCTCTTTGGCCCCTTGAGTGTGGCTCTTCCACAAACTATCACGTGCAGGCGCGCATGTACAGTGCGATTGAAACTTCGTGGTCCAGGTGCAGAAGTCGGTTTTCGGCTCTCCAAAGAAATTTCAATCGTCGCCCTGTTTATATTTGGCTCTGTTGACTAATGAGTTTGCCGACCACTGACCTATGTTATATAACATGCCAATATTTTGCTTTTGAAGTTGCATCTTATCCGTTCATCATTTGATGGGCCTCTGTGTGGTTCCACCTGTTTGGCTAGCTGCCAGCGCTGCTGGCCCCGGAGAAGGGTTGCTACTTGGCCACACGCTGCCCTGTGAACGGGGTGGGGACTCCATGCCTTGCAGCCTCCGTGTCTGCCCCTCTCTCCGCAGGGCATCTTGGGAGAGTGTGAAGGAGAAGAGATCGCCCTGGGTCAGTTTGTGTATAACAAAACCGGAACCACTGTACAGACATTTCAGCTGCAGGTAAGGAGCTCTGTGATTGGGCTGCACCTGGCTCAGTCCCTGGGAGGGGTGGGCGATCGCAGCATGCAAAGTGGTGCCAGCTGTAACCAAAGCGGGAGGTAAGCAGGCGCACCTGACTGCGTGCTCAGCTCTAGATGCTTAGCACATTGTAATGCAGAAGACAGGCAAATGCCAAACTGGGCTCTAAGCCTACTTCTCTTCATTGGCTACCACTTTAAATACACACACACACACACACACACACACACACATACACACACACACGTGTGCGTGCGTGCGCGCGCACGCGCGCGGGGCCCAGTGCACAGATCCGTGCATGTTGAAAGGAACTGTAGGCCAAGAGGCTGTGATGGGCACAGGGGCAGTCTCGGCCCCTCCTCCACGCCCCCCAAGCCCCTCCGGCCATGCCCCCTGGTCCTTCTCTGCTGGCAGCTCCATGCCCACTACCACCGCTCGCACCCGCTGACAGTGCGGAGTGATGGGGCCAGCACCGGGCACTAGTGTGGGTGCTCCTGGCAGCAGGTGCAAGCACTGGGCAGGGCCGCAGGGCACGGGAGCAAAGAATTTTCAGTAACCACCAGAGGCTCGCCCCGATGACAGTGACCAGGACCCCGCCTTGGTCAGGGGCCCCTGCTCACCTGCTCCACCATCCCATTGCAGCTGACACCCACCATGTTCCATGCTCTGCCACCTGCTGCTGATGCCCAGCATGTTCCACCCACGCCCTCTGGTGGTCTGTGCACGTCATAGTAACCAGTTGGTCAGTTGTTTGGTTGTTCTGCTGTTTGGTCTATTTGCATATTAGGGTTTATGTGTATAAATGTATATCCACCTTCTTTACCCTTACCTTACTTTGTTTGGTTCTCTTGAAGCTATTAGGTTAGATAGACACTGTCTCACCTTCTGTGTGATGTGTTAGAGGCAAAAAAGGAAGTCAGAGGGAGAGAAAATCAATACTTAATACCAGATAAGACAGGTAAACTTTCCTTCCTCACCCAATGGGGAAAAATATCAGCTGTATGCCTGGCCGGTAAGGCTCAATGACTGAGCGATGACCTCTGGACCAGGAGGTCACGGTCTGATCCCTGGTCAGGCACATGCCCGGGTTGTGGGTAGATCCCCAGTTTGAGGCGGGCAGGAGGCAGCCAATCCATGATTCTCTCTAATCATGGATGTTTCTCTCTCTCTTTCCTTCTCCCTTCCTCTCTGATATCAATAAAAACATATTTTTAAAAAGAAAGGAAAATACCAGGTGTTAACCTGAAGGTCTTTAAGGCATCCTATATAATAAAACCCTAACATGCAAATTGACTGAACAGTGGAAGGACCTGAGGAATGACTGATCGCTATGACGCCCACTGACCACCAGGGGGCAGATGCTCAACACAGGAGCTGCCCCCTGGTGGTCAGTGCGCTCTGGCAGGGGGAGCATCACTCAGGTGGTGGCCAGAGCCTCTCCTGCCTCTGCTGCAGGTGGGCAATAAGGAGCAAGGGGTCCCAGGATGCGAGAGGGATGTCTGACTGCCAGCTTACACCCTGAGACTGGGCCTAAGCCGGCAAGTAGACATCTCCTGAGGGGTCCCAGCCTGGGAGAGTGTGCAGGCCGGGCTGAGGCACCTCCCCCCGCCCACCCCCAGTACATGAATTCTGTGCATTGGGCCTCTGACATGAAATAAAAATCCCATTGCTTCTCATTAGGTACAGGGAATAATGAGATGGAGAGGGCATCTCCCACCATATAAAACAAGGGTTTCAGGACCCTGCTTGGCCAATGGGGAGGAAGCAGTGTTAGAAATGAACGCACCTGTGGAGTTTCATATTTGATTGAATGTCTGTGTGTCTCCCACCGTGGAGTGGCCAGCAGGCAGCAGGGTGGGGTGTGGCAGTGGCTGGGGCCGTGGGAGCTCATGGCTGTCCAGGCCACTTTTTCCTCTCCTCGCTTGCGTTTGTCTTCTCAGGAGCTCTTCATTCACAGCGGCTCACTTCTCATCTGTTAGAGCCTGTGTGATTGCACTTAAGGCAGGAAGGAGTTCAATCCATTACAACCGGGTTCCTTAGGTCCCTTTGAGATGGATTTCTTGATAAGGCATTAATTTTCTTTTCTTCTTTTTCCCAGCATGTAGTGTCCGAGCCCTTATTATGTGTGAAACTTACAATCCTCAGCAACTGGGGACATACGAAGTACACGTGCTTATACAGATTCAGGGTCCACAGCAGCCCCGGGGGCCACAGCTAGAGGGTCTGCTGCCGACGGCCATGACCACGGTTCCAGAATACTCGTGTTCTCCCTTCCTTAGACTTACTGCACTCGTAGGAATCGAATAGTGGGTTCAAACTTGCCAGTAAAAAGTGAATGAATTTTACTAATAAAAACTGTCAAAGTGGTTTCAATCTCCTTGTGATAATTTAGTTTGTGAGGATGAATCGTGTTGTTGGAACATTAACAAATAAATTTGTCTAGAAAAAGATGTATTATTCAATGTTTTTGTTTTTTGTTTTGTTTTTTGTTAATCCTCATCTGAGGGTATTTTTCCATTGAATTTTATTTGATTCCCCCCTCCCCATAGAATTTTAGAGAGTGAAAGGGAGGGGGAGAGACAGAGAGAAACATCCATGAGAGAGAGACACATTGATTGGTTGCCTCACACACACCCCAACCAGGGCTGGGGATGAGCCTGCAACCAAGGTACGTGCCCTAGACCAGAATCGAACCCTTCAGTCCACAGGCAAATACTCTCTTCCCCTAGCCAAACCGACTGGGGCTTGTTTTATTTTTTAAAGTCTACATCATTTCTATTATTTATGCTGTAAGAATTTTAACCAGATCCAGTGAAATTCATTATAAGACAAATTGCAGAATTATCACGTAACATCACCATTCTTTAAAATTCTGTGTTTATCACCCTTAAAAATCTTAAATTTAAAACCCTAATTCAGAGTGGCTACAGAGCTGAGTGGGATCTAAAGCTGTCATGCAGCAGATGTGTGCATCTGAGCATTATATTTAATCCTTTACAAACAAAGCATTGGTTTTATTTTTAATGTTTTAATAAAAGTGTCAATAGGCCCAGCTGGTATGGCTCAGTAATTGAGTGTGAACCTATGATCCAGGAGGTCAGTTTGGTTCCCGGTCAGGGCACAGGCCCGGGTCGCAGGCTCCATCCCCGGTGTGGGGCGTGCAGGAGGCAGCTGATCCATGACTCTCATCATGGATGTCTCTCTCACTTCCTCTCTGCCTCACTGAAGTCAATAAAAACATATTTAAAAAAGAAGTGGCAGTCCGTGTGAACGTTCTTTATCCCTTAGAACCACTTCTCACACGGAGGGGGCGGGGGACGCTGAGGATCCCTCATTCTAAGGCCGGACCTGCCTGCCGCCCCACCCGGGCGGAACCAAGGAGCGCGGGCGGCGTTTCCGGGGGACGCTGAGGAAGGACGCTGGGGACCGGAAGCTGAACAGGGACGCGGAGGGCCGGAAGCTGGGGGCCGGAAGCTGAGGGCGGGGTTTCTGTCGGCCGCTGGCCGGCCTCCCAGACCAGTGCTGTCCCGCCATGAAGTTTCGCGCTAAGATAGCGGACGCCGCCTGTCTGAACCACTTCACGCGTGAGCGGGTCGCGGCCGCCCGGGGGTGCGGAGGGAGCGAGGGGAGGGCGGGCCGACGGCGGAGGGGCGCGGAGGGCTTCCCTGGAGCCGAGAGGCCGGGGCTGAGGGGTTGAGGGGCTGAGGGACCGGGCGCTGAGGGGCTGAGGAGCTGAGGGGGCGAGGCTGAGGGGAACGAAGCCGAGGGGCCGAGGGGCCTGGGGCTGAGGGGCTCAGGGCTGAGAGGGGCCGGTCTGGGGGGCGGGGCCGGGGCGGGGCTGAGGGCGGGGGGGATGAGGGGCGTGGCCGGGGCTGAGGGGTGAGGGGGGCCGGTTGAGGGGCTGAGAGGGCGGGTTGGGGCTAAGGGGTGAGGGGAGCCGGTCTGAGAGGCGGGGCTGGGGCGGGGCCGGGGCGGGGCTGAGGGGGCTGAGGGGCTTGGCCGGGGCTGAGGGGCGGGGCAAGGGATGGGGGGGGCTGAGGGGCTGAGAGGGCGGGGCCAAGGGGCGTGTTGGGGCTGAGGGGATCAGGGCTGGGGGGGCCGGTCTGAGAGGCGGGGCCGGGCCGGGGCTGAGGGCGGGGGTGGGGGGGATGAGGAGCTCAGGGGTGAGGGGGGCCGGTCGAGGGGCGGGGCTGAGGGGCCTGGGGCTGAGAGGGCGGGGCTGAGGGGCGGGGCCGGGGCCGAGGGGCGGGCCTCGGGCAGTGGTGCCCCAGGTGGTTGGGGACCTGACTGGGTCCCTGGCGCCCTAACAGCACAGGCGGTTTTCTGGAGGCCGAGCTGCTGCCCAGGGGGAGCGAGCGGAGGCTCCACGTGACCCGGAAGCCGGGTGTCCTCAGCCTGTTGCTGGGTGACCAGAGGCCGGCCTGGCCCTGTGGCCCCCGCGCTGGCCTTCAGGTCCCGCACGGGGACCCGCACAGTGACCCGTGCTCCCCGCAGGCGTCAGCTGCATGGTGGCCAAGCTCGCCCGCACCTGCACCCTGCGCATCCGCCCGCACACGCTCAACTTCATCCTGGCCGACTCCGCGGCTGGCGGCGGCGGGGTCAGCATGTGGTGCGAGCTGCCCCAGGTGAGCGACCCGCCCTCCCCCCTCCCGCCCAGAGGGCACCGGTGGCCCCCTGACCCCGAGTCCCGTGCCCACCCCAGGAGAACTTCTTCAGCGAGTTCCAGATGGAAGGGGTCTCCGAGGAGAACAATGAGATCTACGTAGAGCTCACGGCAGAGAACCTCTCTCGGGCCTTGAAAACCGCGCAGAATGCCAGGGCCTTGAAGGTCAAGCTGACCAACAAGCACTTCCCCTGCCTGACAGTCTCCATAGAGCTGGTGAGGAGGGTCCCCGGCCCCGATGGCAGTGGCTGCAGCAGGGCCTCTGGGGTTGCAGCCCGAGGGAGGGCCAGCCGGGCATGTGTGCCCCTCATGACCTTGAGCACACACGGCATGTGGGAAGGGTTTCCGGGAAGAACTGAGAACGCCCCGTTGACCTGTGTGTTAGCTTCCTTGTCGCCCTTCATTCTGGTTGTTCCTTGGCAGGTGTCTGTGTCGAGCAGCAGTCGCATGGTGACCCACGACATCCCCGTAAAGGTTATTCCCAGGAAACTGTGGAAGAATTTACAGGAACCGACAGTCCCAGACGCTGATGTGAGTGATGCCGCAGTCATTTGAATTCCCCGACTTAGCTACGGGCTTTGCAGTCCGTTTTATTCGAAAGTGAAGCCGGGATGCCAAATCCCGGAATGTCCGCCCAGTGACAGCATGTACAACTAGACTGCACTGAGCAAGCCCCCCAGGCACCCGTTTGGGTTTCACAGAGGGGATGTTTCCATGTCACATAAGCAGTGATGTCCGGGCTGGGAGGCTCCTTCAGCTCTGCTGATGCTGATGGAGTCCCAGGACAGGGAAATAGGTGATGTCCCAGGGTCCTTTGCCTCCTGCTCACAACTTACTGAAGGAGCGATGATAGAAATGGAATTCTACTAGAGGGCGCCCACCCTCCTGGGAAGAACAGGTGCACCAGGCACGGTGGGAACCGTCTGGCGCTGGTGCAGGCAGTCCCTCCTGGCTTTCTTGGGTGGAAAGGCCTGAGTCTTGGGCGTCCCTCTGAGGACCGCCATGTCCCTGGGGCACGAAGGCCCCTAGCTGCAGGCGCAGTCCTGGAACCAGAAGTGCCACAGTGACCTGGTTGCTGAGGTAACCAGAGGCAGGAATGAGTTAGTGGAACTCTGATTGTTTTTATTTTCATATTTTAAAAAGAATTTTATTCAGACAGTTAAGAAACCTAGGATTCTGGAGCTTTTAAGCTTACACGCATTCCAAACCTAGATAGTGAGCTGGCACCTGCCAGCACTTGGCTCTACTGACATTCTCATGTTCTGTTTTTCTCATTGGGCTTGTAGGTTAGCATTTATCTGCCGGTCTTGAAGACGATGAAGAGCGTTGTGGAAAAAATGAAAAATATCAGCAATCAACTTGTAAGTCACAACTTCTCTAGATAAGAGCTCTGAAGTGTTTGCGTGGGCTGCATGCCTGCCTGCCTGACACTCAGCGCACGGGGCCCCCTCATCGCTGTGGCTGAGAGCTCCAGCTTCCCAGGTGCCTGGGCTACCTGCCCGAGTGCTCTCCGGGGCTCCTGGGGAGTGTTCACATCTGCCCTCGGGCCTGTGTTTATACTTAAAGTCAGCATGTTCAGCCACTCTGGAGAGAACATGGCACGTCTGCAAAGGTCTGTGTGTTTATGAGGTGCTGGTTTTGGCAGTGAGCTGAGTGCCCCGTGAGTCCAGACCACAGTGTTCACTCTCATTCATGCCAAGTAGGTGGCACGTTGCTGTTCTGATGGTCTTGGTGGTCCACTGCGGTGGGGACATGGCACCGCAGGGCAGCGGGGCATTGTGGGGAGGAGCCTCAGTGTCAGCTGGTTCTGCATTCTTCCTCCACTCCACCAGAGCACCTGGCACATACCCTGAAGCTTTAAAACCACTGTCCGCCTAATGAAGCATAAGCTTTTGACCTTCATCCTCTGCCAGTCCTCGTCCTTGTCACATGGCCACACCCTCCCTGCAGGACCAGCTCTTTCCCGGGTCTGTCTCCCCATATCGCCCTGAAAAGCACTTAGCTCCCAGACCTTCCCCCGTTGCCAGGAGTCCTTCAGACTCTCCTCTGAGCCACTCGGTGCTACCCAATAAGTTCCTTGTTGGTTTCTCGACCCTGCTGACCTGCTGGCTCCTGGGAAAGGGAAACCCAGTGTCTCAGTGTCCAGCCACCTGTGGGACTCACTCAGTGGGCTGTCCACGAGCTGGCCAGGTCCTGGAGTGAAAGTTGGCTTTTAGAGGTCTTTGGAATTGCAGAGGTTTTCTGAAGCCTAGGAAATGCTATGGGCCATTTCATCTACAGTTGTGTCCACTTAAGGGTAATTTTCTCTCATGGCTTAATCTCAGCTCATTGTAATTTACAGCTGGCTTCGGGCGAGGCAGTGAGAGCCTGGTGTCATGTGCTCCCATGCCTGCCTACTGTCCGGCTGTTGTCAGGCTGCAGGCTTCCTCTGGGGACTCAGGAGAGATACCAAGCCTGAGAGAGGCAAAGCAACCAGAGAGAGGCAAGGCAGCCGACTCAGGACCGATGAGTCTCTGTGCAGGGCTGAGCCAGCAGAGGCCCGGACAGAGGCCCAGAGCACTCGGAGCCTCCCCTGCGGGGCCTCCGAGCCCACTGCCTCGTTCCCTCCTCTCATAATCCAGGGTGCCGTCCCCCTACAGTGTGACTTCTGTGAGGGAGCCAGCCTCCCTGGCCTGCTCACCTGTCCCTGCCGAGTTCTCCACTGAGGCCTCTCCCTACGGGGTTTTCCGAGTCCCTGATCCTCTGGCCTGTCCTCTCTGTTGCCAATGTCCCGTGCTGTCTGGAGGGTGCTGGGTTTGTAGGCTCCCTGTCACCTGGTATGGAAGCTGATGTTTGTGGTGGATTTTTACTTTATTTTTTTGCTTTCCTTTTCTTTTTTAAGACTTTGTGAAATACTCCACTTGCAGATTATTGAAGCAAACCTCAATGGAGACTTGAACTTGAAGATAGAATCGGAACTAGTATCTGTTACAACTCATTTTAAAGATCTTGGGAATCCGCTATCAGGTAGGTTTTCTGGTAGTTCGTGTTTTGCTTCTGAAAAATTGTTTCACACCTTACGAGGCCTCTGAATAAATGGGAAGAGTTTAAATTCCGGTGCCTGTTTTATGGTTGGGGAGACAGGCGACAGGTTGGCGTATGTGCTGCTGTGATGGGCGGTGAGTGGAGAGACGGGCGCCCTGGGCATGTGGGTGCCTGGCTGGAGGGTGGGCTCAGGGTCTGGAAACCTGGAGCCATCCCTGCTCTGAAATCCCTGTTTCTGCTACTAAAGATCACAAGTTCCCACCTGGAGCATAGTTAGAAAGGTAGGTGGCATTTCTCCTTTTCTCCTACTTGGGTCTCTAACACTCACATAGATTAGCAAATGCAGACTTTTCTCAGGCGCGCGGATGGCCTATGTCAGGCGAGGTGATAGGGCCCGCAGAATCAATTCAGTGAGTGTGGACAACGGCTGATGCATGGATTGGAGCCTGTGTTGCATTACTGTGTGGGTGGGGCAGGGGAGGGAGAGAAGCCAAGGACCTGGGGATGTGTTTGCTAGTGACTTAAAGCCCTTCAGTCACGCATGTGCCCCAAACAGGCCACTCTCAGAACGGGCATGTGTCACCCCAGGGTTGCTATGCACATTCTAGCGTTGTTGTGGGGCTGGGCCTTCACGGTGGAGGGGTGCTGTGGGGAGAGGGAGGCCCATGTGGTCAACGCTTTGGTAATGCTGAGGGAGAGGACTTACTCTGGTCTGACTCATTTTGTTCATTTTAATAAACAAGAAAGAGGGTTTTCTTACCGTGGTGCTTTTCCACTCTGGAAGGAGGCCGTGATTAACCCACATAAGCATATGAAGCATTGACTGTTCATGTGCACTGAGGGATGCCGTCTCCCTTACCTAAAGGGAGTTTAGGTCATGTTTCAAGGCCTGGGAATGAAGATTTCCTGGAGATTGACATAGTAGTATCTCAGAGTCAGGATTTAACAGAGGGTCCTGTTTCCGTCTGCACGGTTTGTCCATATGTAACAGGGGAATGCAGCTCATTTATGTAAGCAAGCAGTCTTCTTTCACATCCAGATGTTCCTGTCATTTTAGCCTCTGAAAACGAGTCTGAGGACCGCAGCCCCGAGCAGATGGCGGAGGTGCAGGTGGACATCAGGAAGTTCCTGCAGTTTCTTGCTGGACAACAAGTGAACCCCACCAGGGGCATCTGCAGTGAGTGTGCATGCAGTGGTTTGCACGTTTCCTGTGCTCGAGTCACCTGTGGCCTCTCAGCTTGTGTGTGGTCTTGTAAATGCAGGGCAGCTTGGTCAGGCCTCTGATTTTCCAGGGCCGGGATGATTGGGGTGCCCCGGGTTCAGAGGTGACAGAGGTGGGTCTGTGCTGTCTCACCGGGCGTTAGCATGGTCTCTGCGCCCAGAGAGGGGCTGTGGAAGAATGTGCTGACCGTCCTCTGTTAATCTGACCTGACACCTGGCCTGACATAGGCGGAGCCCTGACTCCATCTGTCTTGATTTAGGTTCCCCTCACCATGCCTGTTTCTTTCTGTATCTCAACCTGACGCCTGTGTCCTCTCAACCCCTCCCGTGGCTCTGCTTGGCCCATTCTCAGCAGCGTGCGCATTCCCTGTGCCTGAGGAAGGGCTGCCTTGTCTCCTTGCTGTGGATAACACAGCCCCTGAAAGGACACGTACCTTGCTGGGAAGTGCTTCTGTCTCCCACATGTTGTGGTCATGGGTCCTGGCTGCTGGGTTCTGTTGCTGTCATCACTCTTCCGGGGCGCTCCATCTGCCTGTGCCTTGGCGTGTTTGCCCTTCACCGGGCAGTGCGTGGCCTTGCCTTCATAGACCATCCCTGTTCTACGTTCCTGGAGCAGATTTCTCCTTCAGTGGGTCCAGGATTCAGGGAGCAGCCCTGTGCATGGAGGCTCCATAGTGACGGTGTCTTCTGTCCCCAGATGTTGTGAGTCACAAGATGGTGCACTTTGACCTGCTCCATGAGGACGTGTCCCTGCAGTACTTCATCCCAGCCATGTCCTAGCACTGCCAGCTGCACGGAGCCCAGAGGCCGTTCCATGACCAGAGAGGCATGGGCGATGTGCTCATCATTTGTCCCTGTCCTCACAGCAGCACAAATTCTGTACATTTCCCTTATTTTTTCCTTTATGATAGTTTAACTAGAAATTAAATTGACGAAATAGTTGAATAAACATGTTACTTCATATTATTATAACTGGGCAATCAATGGGTCTTCACTGCCTGACACTGCTTGAGCCAATTAAGCAGAGACAGGGTTGAATCATATGTGAGCATTTATTCCAGTACTGCTGACAGTATGGGAGAGCAGCAGGTCATCCACAAACATCTGCTCTACCCCCACCATAAGCCAGCTGCTTATATTGGGAGAAGGATGAAGATTACATAGGGAAGTAGGCAAAAGGGTATGACACATTGGGCAGTTTGCAGGTAATGCAGGCGGGAGGTATGCAAAGGGCTCCGATTTCTGCAACAGGGCTGTTCATCTTTCCATGATACAGGCAGCTCTGGGATGGGGAGGATGGACCGCATTTCCGGGGGAGCTCCCAAGTGCCATGAACCAGGTGACCTGTAGGATCTCTTAACACGACCCGCCTGGTTCAGGATTCCACTTCAGAGTCCGTGTTCTGGAGAAGGCCGCACACAAAATGCAGAGAGGCTAGAAAAGAGTTAATTTGGGAAAATGGGGGCCAGGTGGGAGTCCCCCTCTAGGGGGAAGACTACCCAGTGCTCTGGCCTTTTGCCATCCCTTTTATTGAGGTTCTGAGATAAAGACATTCTTTAGGCAGGAAATTCCAACAACAGAAATCAAGAATTTACATATGATTAACAAATTAAAGTTGCTTCAGCCCTAGCCGGTTTGGCTCAGTGAATAGAGCATCAGCCTGCAGACTGAAAGGCCCTGGGTTCGATTCCGGTCAAGGGTATATGCTTGGATTGCAGGCTTAATCCCCAGTAGGGGTTATGCAGGAGGCAGCTAAGCAATGATTCTATTATTGATGTTTCTCTCTCTTCCTCTCCCTTCCTCTATATATCAATAAAAATATATGTTAAAAAAAATAAAAAATAATAAAGTTGTTTCAACTACCACTTATCTCAACTAAACAATGAGTTGATAGCTCTGACCATTCAGAGCCATTAAGGTTGGCCAGCTCTTTTTACATTTTACTACTAGTGACAATGTTCAGTTTCCAGCATCTCCCCCCAATTTCTTCCTTTAAAAAATCTTGCATTTACAGACCAGAAATAAACATATAAGAACAAAAAATGTTTCAGTCCCAATTTCAATGTCCAAAAGTTCTGAGTCCAAATTTATTTTATTTATTGATTTTTTTACAGAGAGGAAGGGAGAGAGATAGAGGGCTAGAAACATCGATGAGAGAGAAACATCAGCCAGCTGCCTCCTGCACACCACCCACTGGGGATGTGCCTGCAACCAATGTACATGCCCTTGACCGGAATTGAACCTGGGACCTTTCAGTCTGCAGTCCGACGCTCTACCATTGAGCCAAACTGGTTTTTGGCTGAGTCCAAGTTTTAATGTCCAAAAGTTATCAGTCCAAGTTTCAATGTCCAACAGTTCCTCATGTGTACATGTCAGCAATGATATCTGGATGGTGGACAAACGGTGGCGATGCAGGCCCGACCGTCTCTGGATTGGTCCTGGGCACAGCTGCTGACTGCTAGCATGGCAAGGCGTCGTTAGTGTCTTGCATGTCTGGACTGTTTCTCCTCTTGTCTTCATGGGTGGAGCATTCCTATTAATTCCTCTCTGTTGCAGGAATCCACATGGTCTTGGAGTTTTCTGAAAATATACAAACATATTCTCGATCAAAAGTTAATAAAGGAATCTTTTCTATAAATTCTACTTGGGATCCTTTTAATTTTTTGCCCAAACAATTTTCCTTTGACTTATTTTGATACGATGTGTGTTTTTCATGGCTGTCTTGCTGTTAGCATTACAAATGAAAATTAGTTTTCAAAAGAAAAACAATTTTCTAGATGTACTTTACTTACAGGACATTTTTTCCTTCCATGGTATTTTTCCACTATCCCCCCCCCTTTTTTTTATTGAATTATTAGGAGGCTTTTGGAAAATGCAGTTTTGATAACTTTTAAATTTTAATTTTTTGCACAAAAATATGACTGCTTTAGGTTTATTGCATGTTAAGCAATTTTACCATGAAATGAACTACCAATAAAAATTTTGGTTAATACGGTATTTTCCTGCGTATAAGACGACCCCCTAATTTTACAGTTAAAACATAGGTTTAGGCCTATATTCGCTGTATAAGACTACCCCCCACTTCCGCCTCTCTGACTCTGGCCAATCTGAGCAGGCTTTTTACTAGAACACAGCGGTCTATTAAAAAAAGAACTAGTGTTGCCTCGGAAGTGGGGGGTAGTACTTTAGGAACAGCCTTTTGTACAATTAAATTTTCTTGAATATTCACTTAATTCATTTAGCCAATTTAAATTAATCTGAAAACTTGACTACTGTCAAATTTAATACTTCAACAACAATCTTAGTTTACCCTGTAAATATTAATGGAAAGGATTATTTGCATTCTTGAGAAAGTCCTGAGCATTCCTGGATTTAGGCTGGATTTAGATATAGGGCAGCTGCCATCAGCCACTTCTCTGTTGCCTGGGTCTCAATCTGAGCTGGGCCAAGTCTCAGTATGTTGCCTGGGTCCTGATTTGAGCTAGACATGGGAAGCACGAAGCAGCCATGGGACAGGAGACCTCCCTCAGAAGAGGCGAGTGTTCAAGCTCCTCAGCGTTGGGGTGGGAGTGAGGATCTATGCCTCTCCTTTGTTGATCCCCAAGTTCTTTCCTGATGGCCCCTCTGCGACTACGCTTGTCTTAGGTTATTCCTTCCCTGAGGAATCTTACCCAACTTTGGCTAACCAGCCATCCTCTGGGGCCAAGCAGGGTGATGTGAGGTTCAGTTCTGTCTCCTTGGTAGCCTAAGCCCCTATGGCCTCCATGCCCAGCACCTGCCTTGGGATCCCCTCGCCTGCTGGCTAGACCCCGGCATTGATATCTTGGGGAACACAGGTTTCTTCTCCAGGGAGGGCCCAGCTCACACCATTGTGCGAGAGACAGATCCATGGTATCACCCACCATGAGGCTTCAACCTTAGCATGAACTGAAAACTCAGGCAACAGCTGTGAGTAATTGGATTGTGAGACCAGGCAAAAAGGTCAAGAAGGGCCAATATAGGATGCTCAAGTGCCTTCCCAGGGGGCCTTCCACACAGTGGAAGGGATTAAATCCTTTCATGTCCTTTTAAATTGCTGCCAAACATCCTAAAAATTAGACTTTTAAGTTTGTTTGGAATAATTGTACAATATGCTGCTGTAAAATATCAAAAATTATAATGACATTGTAGAATAATATCATGTAAGGATATTCTTTGCTCTAAGCCAGTGTTTCCCAAACTTCTCTCATGGTGAGAATACCTGGTGGAGTTGTTAAAATACAGATTCCTGAATCCCAACTAAGAAGTGCTAAACTAGAATTTTTGGGAACATATAGGTAAAATTGTCACCAGGTGATTCTCACAATGAGAGAAGTTTGGGAAACACTGCAATTCAACTTCAAACTGGCTGTCCATTTTCTCTTTGTATAGACAAGGTCTTAGTTACATTTCCTGCACTTCTCCAAGGAGCAAGTAGTGAACCTACTTTGATGCAAGCCAGAAACCTCTCTCTCATTTTACACACAAAGGAGCAGTGGTTTGATTGTGTCATACAAAAGGGAAGCTGGCTGGCAACACCTGTGTAATACTTCCTTGCCCCACCGTTTTCCTCCTGGAAGACCAAGGTGCCTGGTATTATTGGTGACTACATTAGGCGAGGGATCAGCGTAAGGGCTTAGCGTAAGGGCTTTTACCCATGAACGGTCAGGAACATAAGTCCTAAACACTTCCACATTTGTCCCAGGTAATATTACCATACAGATGATTACTGCTAGCATGACAAGAAAGACATTCTCAGGCACCTGTACCGTCTCCTTTTTACCATGCCCCAGATGGTCTCTGGGTTGTTTGCTGTCTGGCTCCTCCTCCTCCTGCTCATCTTCAGTGGACTGCTTGGAGTCGCTGCCCTCTGTAGCTGGGGTAGTTGATTGTCTGCAGCTGCATGGTGTGGCTCCAGGTGCAAGGTCCTCATTAGTCTGGCTAGTTTCCCTCTTGGATCCCTGTTGCAGTTATTATTTCTAGCAGGAATCCACACGGGTTTGGAAAAATTCTCTGGGAATATACAAGCATACCCTCTGCCAAAGGTTAATAATGGATCAGGTCCTTTCCATAAACCAGATTCGGGATCTTTCCATTTAACTAGACCATTTTCTTCTGCTTTATTCTGACGCCAATGTAGTTCCACAGGCGTCCTTCCTTCATCATCACACGTGAAAAACTTTAAAGTAATTAAGGCTTGGCGCAGCCTACCCGCAGGCGATTTCTCCATCTTCCCCCTTTTTGTTTTTCAAGTTGGTATCTTAGCCGCTGATGCTGTCGTTCAATAATGGCCTGTCCTTGGGAATTATATGGTATTCCTGTAATGTGCTGAATTTCCCACCTTTTACAAAATTCCTGGAATTGATGGCTTGTGTAAGCAGGCCCATTACCAGTTTTAATAATTTTTTGAACTCCCATGATGGCAAAAGCAGCTAGGCAGTGATTAATAACTTGTTTTGCCATTTCTCCTGTAGATGCAGTAACCCATAAGACTTTTGAAAAGGTATCTACAGAGACATGTAGCACCCAAGGTGTCCAAAGGAATTATAATGTGTTACATCCATTTGCTAGATATGATCTCTTACCAAACTCTGGGGTTGACCCCTATGTTAGGCCCTTGAGGTAGATGTAACATGCAAGTTGGACATTCCTTAATAATCTGTTTAGCCTGTGGTCGAGTGATTGAGAATTGTTTAGACAACATTTTGGCAGGCTGATATAAAAGCTGATGAAATTCTAAGGCTTCTTTTAATAAAGCAACC